AGGCCCAAGGTCTCCTGTCTTGGGACCTAGGGTTATTTCCACCACACTGTGTCCTCTGCCCAGCACAGAAGAAACATTATTAGAACAAATCTGTCATCAAGAGAGAGTCATTCAATACATTTGGAAAGTATCACCAGCTCCCTAAAAATAAATTAGCAGCTCTAAGGCTCACTGTTTAAATATTTAAAGCAAAAGTCCATCCTGAATTTAAAATATAAAGCCACCCACAGTGGATTTATAAGATTTGCCTTCTGTTCCTTGCCTTTTAGACTGCCACAAATAATTTAAAGTGTACACATGCAGGTAATCACTTCTAAATGATAGTAGGGCAAAATGGCCCGCCTCATTTTTATTTTTGCTGTCTTCTCATCAGCTTATTCTGGTTTTCCTGGATGTTTGAGGTAAAGAGGCATTATGATTTTAATGACCGACTAACAGTTACAAATTTCCATTTCATTTTATTCAGCAGCTTAGATGTGGTTTAATGCAGCATGAATAGAATTCTCTCAGAGGTGAGTCTGAACTGAACTGACTAGGTTTCTGGCTGCCAATTCCCTTGCACACTAAAATAGCAGCATAACCTATTACACACATTTGTTATCTGTTACTTAAAGAAAATTACCAACCCACCCAGACAGAAATACAGCTGATGATGAGAGTTTTCGAAAGGGCAGAAAACCTGTTTGTTTTACATCAGATTGTTCACCCAGACTCCTAAGAGAAGGCAAATGTTTCCAAACAATCAAAGCAAAAGACATCCAAAGCCATATTTTTGTTTTAAACAAAAACAAAAAACAAATGCCTGGCATAAATAATCTAAAAGTGGTATTCAAGAATGTATTTTCTTTTCCTTTACAGTTTACAGGTAGGTATCTCTAAGATATCGATTTCCTTCATTAAAAATATCTTCTGGGGCTCTCCCTGATGGCACAATGGATTAAAGCACCACATTATGAAGCTATCTGAAACCACTACAGCAAAATTTCCACCCTTGGCCAGGGAACTGACCCACATGGAATGGCAGACCTCGCCTGTCCTGCCCGCTACTCCCCTCAGCAGTGTATTTCAGTAGAGCTCTCTCACCCACCATAACTCTGACCTGCACCTCAGTTCTGTAAGCATAAATAATAAAATAAATCTTTTAAAAAACATATGTGTGTGTGTGTATATACATATATATGTATCTTCTGTTCTCATGTGTAGAATTGTGTGTATGTTTGTGTTCGTGTATGTGTGTGTGTATGTATGTGTGTATGTATATATATGCACACACACACACACACATATATCTTCTGTTCTCATGTGTAGAACTTTGTGGAGGGTCTAACTGACCTGCAAGAGATCCAGTATCACTAAGCGTTCAGCCCTGCCCACAGGTGGCTTATGATCAAAGAAATACTTTCTCTTTATTAGATGCCTACATAAGCCATGATTTATGAAGCAGTGCTCTTTCTCTCTCTCTCCTCTCAAAATTCCATACATGCCCTGGATTTGAAGTTGGTATTCATAATTCATTTAAGAGGTATAGGGGGAGAGAGGGACAGATTAATGAATGTGAAACTTGTGAGTTTGGGTCTGACTTTTAATAGTCAGATAAAGATTTTGAACAAAGTGGACAATAATTTACTGTAAGTAATAAAAGAATATTGATCTTGCCATGGGGTAAGAACCAAGGTTTCAGAGCCATCATATGTACTAATTTGGATATGACAAGCTTGGAACCTATTTATAACTTTTAAAGCATTTTATGGCTTTCTTTCCAAAGAAACAACATCCTATTGCACAAGGTCTGAATATACAAATGATCTTCTCTGCCAAAAGCGGCTGAGAAAGCAAAAGGATCACCCAAGTATTGTTTTTCAAACTTAAATCCATAATGGTGATTGTACAGAAATATTTGGTATTTAATAACTTTGAAACTTGAATTTAGAAGGATTTTACGACTCGCAGGTTACATAGTCTCATGGCTCAGGTTCATAAATCCACCAGGAATGGAAGGACTTGGCTATTGTAACTCCCCATCCCTTTATACAGATAAAAAAACAAAACCCACAGGCTGTCAATAGGGCCCAATCCTATCACAGTGCCATGGTCTGTCAGGCAAAAGTGGGCATGAATTAGGGCTCCATTTAAATGGATTTGGAAAATAAGGAGTCTTCATTCCTCTTAACCTTTGTTTCCAGTAAATCACATGACACCAGATTACTAGTAATGCTTTAAGTATCTGTGGAATTAAAGTCAGGAAATATCCACAGCATCATTTTGTACAAAATGAAACAAAGGTATGGAATACTTACCACTCCATTGAAAGAATAAAAGTCTACCAGTACTTTTATAGGGAAAAGTGCTGTAGAATACTTTTCTGAGTCCATCCAGGGAGCATCTTATTTCCAGAAGTCCAGTTTTACAACACAGATATCCCAACCCAAGATCAGAATTCCCTTGTAGAGCTCACCACCTTACCTAGTAACATCCAAGCTGTTGGCTAAGATCCCAGACACCAGCTTTCCCTGATGCTATCACAGTTCCCTCTGGGGCAGGCGCCCAGTCTTAAACAGACTTAGACAACCTAACTCACTTTTCTCTTTAAAGCTTCTCTGTAAGTAGCTCTTCTCTCAAAAAAAGAGTGTTTGCCTCCGCTTCATCTAAGCAATTCTTAAGTGACATCGCAAGATGGATGTTGAATATTAAAAAAAACACGCCTCCTCTGTTTCATGGCCTGCTTTGTTTCCCTAATTTAAAAAAAAAAAAAATTATTCATCATTCCAGCACAGGAGTCCCTTCTAAACCTATACTTCAGTTCAGCAGTGAGAAGAGGGTTCTGTTTACAAATTTCACTCTCTGGTTCACATTTTCCTCATGTGGATGGTTAAAACACTTTTCAAGATTTTAGATACATTTCTTATCCCTCCATCATTCCCACCGGTGGCTCAAACTCAGAGAAATTGATGTCGTCAGAAGGTCAACCTCAGACAGAAGTCAGCAAGATGAAAACTGGAATTTAATATTTTGCACAAGAATATTTGCATTCCCATGAGCTTGTGCAAATGCATGATCTCACCTTTTTGAGCTGACTGCAAAGGTGCCATGGAAAGAGAAACAGAAGCCTCTAGCTCTCAGATAGGTTCGCATACTGAACTCCCTTCAAGAAAATAAATGGTGCTGCCCAGGGACCATTAATGAGTGGACTTCAGTGGACACTTAGTATGCAAAATGATATCAAAGCAGATTGGGCACCAACAGTGGTGGGTGAAAGAAAGTATTAACATTAAATATCTTCTTCCAGACATCAAACATGACTGAGTGATTGGATGGCCAAATTGAATATACTGTTGATAAAAAGAACTTGTGAAGGGTTGATAGAAAAATAAAGATAGAAGAAATGCAATGAAATCTGTATTTTTGATAAATGCTTTAAAAGATCTGCTGGTAGAAGCTAGTGGTTATGTAACAAGTCGGTTTGAAAAATTACACCCTTTACAATTACACCCTGATAAAAGAGATGAGGTCAAGTCATTAAACATTCTTGCAAATAGAAGGAAATGGATGAATTCTTTGCTTAGCAAAAAAAAAAAAAAAAAGGATTTGTGGTGTGAAATCTGTACCAATCTTCCCGAATAAGTTAGAGAGGAAACACAAATTTGGTGACTGTGGGGGCTGAAGTATTAATTCATGGTCCTCTGAAATTGAAGGCGGTGCCTGACAGATACTCGTGTCTAAGGTTACTTAGCTTGGCTGGGCCAAGAGCAATTAAAGCTAATGGTTCTCCCCAACACACCCCAGGTTAGACCCCCCTTTTTCTTCTTCTTCTTCTGGCTCTGCTTTACTGGTGCTCTTCTCCCCAGCACCAGCCCTTTGGGGTCAGGAAGCTTCGGGGGCCCTCTTCAATCTCCAGGCCCCAGAGTAACCAACTCGGGTATCCTTGGCCAAGCTCGCCCGGGAGGGAAATCGCTTCTCAGCGCACCGCCCAGAGCCTCCGGGCCCCGGGCTCAGCAGAGCAGGTCGCCGGCCGGGTCACGGCGTCCGAGCGCGAGAGCTCGCGTCCTCCTGGAAAACCACGCAGTCCCCTCTTCCGGCTCAGCCCCCGCGCTCGGGGTCCCGGCAGGGGTCGCGCCGGGTCCGAAGGACTTG